AAACACAGAGCAGTTTAGAAGGGCTGTTTTAGGGCTTGGGTCTTTTTAAGGCTAGCATCTGAAGGTAAAGACCAGAAAGCTTATTTAAACAAATTCAGGAGCACGTTGACTTTTGCTCTCTTCCTGCTTACAGAATGTGAAGTTGTCAGAGGCTGATCATGGGAAGACTCAGCAAGTGGAGCTGGAGGTTGGGCTTAGCTCCAAGTGGAGTAAGAGCAGAGTGAAGCGGCTGCTGTGCCTCCTGGATGTCTGTTTGGCAGAGCTGAGCAACCACGCAGCATCATCCTGCCCATTGAGGCTTGCCAAACATTCAAACCCAAACACCACCAGGCACCGTAGGGAGAAAATACTATTAACAGCATTCATGGTTGTTTAAGAGGTCTGTTTATTTGCTGCAGGGTCCAACTCTTTCTTCACTGCTGCCACATTCCAAGTCAACTCCATTTTTGGTGCAGGAAGGTTCTCCTTGCTCTTTGTTCAAAGGGCTCAGTACAGTACCAGCATGACTTTCAACCCACCACCTTCTAAACAACACCGATGATCAGTGAGGCAAAAAAAGCCCCAAACCATGCAACATATGTTAGTCTCATAAAATTAGGCTGAGAATATTTATATATTTACACAGAGAAGGTTCAATGTTGTAACCTGCTTGGAGCCTTGAACAAGCCCCCAAACAGCTACATTCTGTTGTAAAATACTCGTTGGATTAAGGTTTGGTGTAAAAGCTACTTGTTTCACAATGCCTTTAACTGGGTTCTACCACACCTATTTTTGCCACAGCATTTCTACACAGCAGTGCCACACATTCAGTCATACCTCACGAAACAAGATAAGGCATTTGCAGATCTCTGGCTTCTGTCATCACAAGAAATCCATCTTCCCAGAGCTTTCAGCCACGACCTCTGGAGACCACGAGTCTTTCAAACACAACGGGTGAGTCTGGAGGGGATGTCCAGTTCTTCCAAAAACTATAAATTTGCCATTTCTTGCTGCTGCTACACACAACACAGATAGAATTGAAGACTATTTTATTCATTGCCTAAATAAAAATTTCTTCTTAAACCCCACTGGATAACAACAGGGCTTAGGCACTTCTGAAGATTTTATCTTATATCTGTCTTTAATAAGGTGAAAGCTTCAGACTACAGGACAAGCCATCATCTGAAAAGGGAAAAATTAATGACTGCCAAGGAGCAGGTCAACAGTGTAAAAGTGTAGACAATTTATGTGGACTCCAAATCCATATAGAACCTCAGTAATCAGATGGGATTCTGTACACGAGGGGTCTGCCAGAAGAAATCTGTCTGCAGTAGCCAAGGACTTCACTGTCTACATTAAAACTTGGTATAAGAACAGACTTTGGGAAAACCATTTAACTGTGAAAAGTCACCTGTGTGAACAATTGTTTTTCTGGAAAGCACACCCTGCCCAGAAATGGAAAACTGGTAACAGTGACCCAGAGCCCCACAGGCTGGAGCCCTGTCAACTGTAAGGAGCAGGAGAGTCAACAGAGAAGGAACATGAGCCCACACCAAGTGGATTAGCCAAGACAGATGAAAGATTTGTGGTGTTCCTAGAAATGGCTTCTTCTTTTAAAAGGAGACTTGGAACCCATCCTGTGCTGGCTGGCAATAAGAACACAAACTTCACATGGGTGGTCTCTAAGGCAGAGAAAAATCTGCTAATAGAAAAGAATTGATTTAAGAACTTGTGTTTTAAAACCCAACTTTTTTCCTTGCTAAATCGATAGCAGTGAAAAACCTGTTAAGGGTGAAAAGATTTACATCCTTGCATTTGGCATCTATCCATATGCATCATCTGTGGAGAGTTCAGGTGGCAAGCCTCAACCTTCTGAAGGAGTGAACGTGCAGAAGGCTGGAAGAAGGTAACTGAGGCAGGAGGTACAGGGGGATTCTGTAAGTAAAGCTGTTCTGCTGAGCTTCCCACAACTGTGTAGCATCAACACAGCTAATGTGCTCCAGCAGCACAGAGATCAGCAGCCATGCAGAACCTGCCACTCCAGTCCCCAGCAGCTACTGAAATGGCCAACAGAGGCTCAGAATGGTTTACTGCTCAGGAGCTACAGAATTACAACCCCCTCCAAGTTCAAAGGGTGAGAGGTCCCTACTGAGGTTCCCTTTTCTGCTTTGCTGTAGTGCAATGCAGCACGCCAAGGGCCCAGGTCTGCCCCCTGGACCCAAGCAAAACCTTCATCATCTTTTCCCTGTCAATTTGTCTGTGTGGGAAGAATAAATGACAATTTTCAGGCTTTGTTTAAAAGCAGAACAAAATGTGGGCTTTGTTTTCCCCCACTTGGTAACAGAAAGTGAGAACAGGGGCTACACATAAGAAGTCTTAAGTTGTGTAGAGAAGGAATAAGTGAGAAACTGGAACATCTACTTGTTTCTAAAAAGCACTAGTGACATTCAGTAGAGTTTTTGACTTCTGTTTTCTATCTGGGTACACCCATAGCCCTTTTCTCCTAAAAAAGGTGAGTCCTCAATGTACCTATAGAATATCCACCAGCAATATTCAAGAAATAAATTGGCTTTTTTTTTTTTTAGCACATGTACATTGCAGCCCTTCAAAAACTAAACTAAACATAAAAATCCACCCCTGTATATACAAAGTAGATGCTATCTCCTGCATAACAGATGTGGGATCTGAACTGCTCTTTCTGTAACCTTGCCTTTCTCCTAAAGTACTCAGTTTAGAAGCATTCTTCAGTTGCTGTGAAGTCTTACACAGCAAGATCTTCTCAGTATTTCAGATCACACGAAATGAAGCAACCTAAACATACTCCATGACACACCAAGAAAGCATTAAAAATTACTGTTGACTGCAAAGTATTTAGGCACCTACCACTCAGCTTCCAGTCTCAATGTATTTTCTTTTCACCTGTGTTATTCCTCTGGCTGTTTGACTGAAAGATACCAACTGTCACTAGTAGCACAAATATGAAACCTCTCTCCCTTCCCTCCCCCATGAGCATTTAAAGGAAGACTGAGCATTGTTCTGCCCAGCTCAGCAGTATGAAAGTGTAAAATAAGGAGCACCATGAGAGGCTTCTCACTCTAGAAGACTCTAGGACTGGTCTATCCAGCTGAAGAGTGGTTTAATTCTTGGCCTGGGCCACGGAGAGAACATTTGTACTGACATTAGGCACTCTACCAAGGGATCCCAGGTAAGCACTCGGGCTGCCTAGCAAGCTCCTGGACAGGGCACTTCAGCTGCTGATTTGGGACTCCACCTCTGCCCCCAGCTCATGAAGGAAGCCTAGGCACACAAGTCACTTGTCCTGGGTCAGGCTGTGTGAAGACCCTCACACAGCCATGCTCCCACAGAGCACAGTTCAAAGGCTGTGAGGTGAGCAGTGGCTGTGCTGGTAGTGACAGAGTCGACGTCTTTCTAAGGGTGCTGCAACACATCTGAAGGGACCCAAGAACTCATCAGCTGCCCCTGCCACCCACT